TCTCCAAACAGATAGCAATGATGAAGAAAATATAAAAATGTAAGATCTAAATGACATAGCCAGGTTCAAAGAAAGCTAAGCATCCCTCTGAAATGGAAACAAGCATACCCGTGGAATGGAAATGAAGGACTGACTAGGCTGGATCTACAAGCTCCATATCCTGACATTGGTGGTGTGCCCCAGAGTTCCACTCTGGTCAAGTCAATGGGAATAAAATCCCTCTATGCAGGATGGGAACCGGAGCCAGCCTACCTGCTTACACCAGTGGCTGGGATAGTTTTCCTTCTCCACCTGTAAAAAGGCTAAAATGGAAGTAATGATACTACTTTAGACAAAATCTAGTGACAGACACAGCCTCACAATGAGAGGAACTAGACCTAGCCCAGGCTCCCTGCCCCAACCCCAGTGTTACCCTAGGATAGGAGCCTTGAAATGATTCTAACATCTTATGCTAAACTAGGGCCACTGGAAGCTGGATAGTAGCAGCAGCAGCAGCAGCAACAACAACAACTAGAAAGTGAGGGCAGACCTCAGAGGAAGAGTATCATGAGGTGGGGCAGGGGAGGGGAGAGAAATGTTCCTGCAGACCAAAATTCCAAACACATGGAGAACTAATCTTAAATTCTAAGATAATTTCAACCTAATTCTAAAAATGATAGCCAAAAAAATCAATGATTAAAACATGAATTCATTACCAAAGAAATTAAACTTTCTTTTTAAAAGAAAACTTCAAGCCTTAATACACACCAAAAACACTTCAAGAAAGCCTATATTAACAGCCTGCTTTTAACCCACCACAGGGCCCCTGGCTGCGCTGGTACTCTCCTGCTGAGGCATGCCACACAGAGGGACTCAGTACTGCCGGAGTGATGGAGCCTTGATGCTCTCTTCTCTTTCAGGTTTGCCTCCCCTCGTATCAGCCTTCTCTAGTCTTATAACAAAATCTTCAGGCCTGTGCCCACCATTTAAAATTAAACAGAATAGAGACTCCAGAAATGGACTCTATGGTCAACTAATCTTTGAGAAATCAGGAAAAAAAAATCCAATGGAAAAAAGACAGTCTCTTCAATAAGTGGTGCTGGGAAAATTGGACAGCTACATACAGAAGAATCAAACTGTACCATTCTCTTACACCATACACAAAGATAAACTCAAAATGGATGAAAGACCTCAATGTGAGACAGGAATTCATCAAAATCCTAGAGGAGGGCACCGGGGTGGCTCAGTTGGTTAAGGGACTGCCTTCGGCTCAGGTCATGATCCTGGAGTCCCAGGATCGAGTCCCACATCGGGCTCCCTGCTCAGCAGGGAGTCTGCTTCTCCCTCTGACCCTCTTCCCTCTCGTGCTCTCTATCTCTCATTCTCTCTCTCTCAAATAAATAAAATCTTTTAAAAAAAATCCTAGAGGAGAACATCAGTAGTAACCTCTTTGACATCAGCCACAGAAACTTCTTTCAAGACACATCTCCAAAGGCAAGAGAAACAAAAGAAAAATGAACCTTTGGGACTTCATCAAGATAAAAAGCTTTTGCACAGCAAACCAAACAGCCAACAAAACTAAGAGGAAACCCATGGAATGAGAGAAAATATTTGCAAATGACATTATTGATAAAGGGCTGGTATCCAAGACCTATAAAGAACTTATCAAACTCAACACCCAAAAAATAATCCAGTCAAAAAATGGGCAGAAGACATGAACAGACACTTCTCTAAAGAAGACATATAAATGGCTAACAGACACACGAAAAAATGTTCATCATCACTAGCCATCAGGGAAATACAAATCAAAACCACAATGAGATACCACCTTACACCAGTTAGAATGGCAGAAATTAACAAGACAGGAAACAAGTATTGGCGAGGATGTGGAGAAAGGAGAACTCTCTTACACTGTTGGTTGGAATGCAAGCTGGTACAGCCAATCTGGAAAACGGTATGGAAGTTCTTCAAGATGTTAAAAATAGAGCTACCCTATGACCCAGCAATTGCACTACTAGGTATTTACCCCAAAGATAGAGATGTAGTGAAAAGAAGGGGCACATGCACCCCAATGTTCAGAGCAGCAATGTCCACAATAGCCAAACTATGGAAGGAGCTGAAATGCCCTTCAACAGATGAATGGATAAAGAAGGTGTGGTACATATATACAATGGAATATTACTCAGCCATCAGAAAAGATGAATACCCACCATTTGCAATGACATGGATGGAACTGGAAGGGATTATGCTAAGTGAAATAAGTCAAGCAGAAAAAGACAACTATTATATGGTTTCATTCATATGTGGAACATAAAGAATAGCACGGAGGACCATAGGGTAAGGGAGGGAAAACTGAAGGGGGACAATTCAGACAGGGAGATGAATCATGAGAGACTATGGACTCTGGGAAACAAACTGAGAGTTTCAGAGGGGAGGGGGCTGGGGAGATGGGGTAGCCGGATGATAAGTATTAAGGAAGGCACATATTGTGATGAGCACTGGGTGTTACATGTAACTAATGTATCATTGAACACTGCATCAAAAACTAATGATGTACTATACAGTGGCTAACTGAACATAATAAAAAAAATAAAAAAATAAAATAAATAAAATAAATAAAAAAATAAAATTAAACACCAGCACTCACTCCAATTAGTTCTATCCAGAAAGAGGATGATTCGAAAGTAAGAATCCTGATAATCTATGTCAGCCATACCATACCTATAATCAAAGGGAAATTGTTCCCAGTCGCCTCTACCACAAGCAGGAAAAAATTATGATTCTTGTTATGGGGCAAGTCTGATTTAAGAGAAGGGGAAAACTGAATATCTGGGTACCCCAAACAGGTAACTCAACAGGTAATTATTGGCTTTCTAAGGCATTAACTCCTTTACAAAAAAAACACCCACAGTAAAATTATCTAGTCAAGAATTTCGTAAAATCTCTCCTATGGGCTCAAGTCTTCTGTGACTTAACCCTAGTTCTGAGAAAGAATAATAAAAAGTATGCATCTCTGGACATGCTTCAGAGTAGGAAGTTCACCTATCTCATACTGAATACCCACGCTCCTCTCAGGAACTTTGGGATTGTACCCAACAAGGGTGCCCCTCCCCACCATTGCCCCCTACACACACACACACACACACACACACACACACACACACACACACACA